CCTCCTCACCTTCTACCTCAAAGACCGCACCTAGCAGGGTACCTTGGAGAGGGTCCGGTCCGACCCTTGTGCAATTAACTACAGGTTGGGGGGTCCCTCCGGGCTTCTTGTCTCGGTCCCCTCCTCTTCTTCCTTTGAACACAACTGCTCGCGAGATCTGTCATTGCCCGCATGGTTTTTCCATTACCACGGCTTATGCTGACGACACCCAACTAATTCTGTCCTTTCCCCGCTCAGAGACCCAGGTTCGTCGCACGCGCATCCTCTGCTTGCTTTAGCGATATCTCTCGGTGGTGTTCTGGCTCATCAGCCTCAAGCTCAACTTGAAAAGACTGAAACTGCTTTTCCTTCCGGGAAAAGATGGGTCCCACTCCTTGACCTAACAATCAACATCGGCACCTCTGTTGTTTCCCCGACTCAGACTGCAAGGAATCTGGGTGTGGTCCTAGATAACAAACTGTCCTTCACTGCAAACATTGCTGCTACAAACCCCGCTGCTGCAGATACACGCTTTACAACATCAGGAGGGATACGGTCCCCAGGTGACCCAGAAATCAGCGCAGGTTCTGGTCCAGGCTCTCGTCATCTCACGCCTAGACTACTGCAACTCCCTCCTGGCTGGTCTACCTGCATGTGCCATCCGACCTCTGCAGCTCATCCAGAATGCAGCGGCTCGTCTGGTCTTTCAACCTTCCTAAATTCTCCCACACCACGCCGCTCCTCCGCTCACTTCACTGGCTTCCGGTAACTGCTAGAATCCACTTCAAGACACTGGTACTTGCGTACCATGCTGCGAATGGATCTGGCCCTTCCTACATCCAGGACATGGTTAAACTGTACACCCCAGCACTCCGCTCTGCATCGGCCAAACAGCTCGCTGCACCCGCACTGCGAGGGGGACCCAAGTTCCCATCAGCAAAAACACGTGGGTTTGCTATCCTGGCTCCAGAATGGTGGTATGAGCTCCCCATTGAAATCAGGACAGCAGAAAGCTTGCACATCTTCCGGCGCAGACTGAAAACTCATCTCTTTCGACTCCACTTCGAGCGATAGAATTACTAACAAAGCACTTATATCCTAATAAAGGGCTGGCTTATCTAAAGCCAGTTGAGTAGCACTTGAAATGTTTGGCTCTATGAAACCTGATGCACTTATATGATTCTGTTTTCTTCAAGGTTGTATCTTCCCGGTCGAATGTACTTATTGTAAGTCGCTTTGGATAAAAGCGTCAGCTAAATGCAATGTAATGTAATGTAACTTGTAAGACAATAACGTTTTTCACAGACCAGCTGTACTGAATCAGTAAAGATATATGGAGTCAAGGTCTTCATGTGGAACACCCAGTGAGCAAACAAGCAGAGGGAGACCACAGCAGTTTCTGCAAACTGTTTAGAACAGTTATCCATTTTAACCTCTCGTCTTTTTCTCACCATCTGCTGAGACCAGGACCACTACAGGTTGCACCAAAGCTGGACTTGAAACTGGTGTTACCTGTCACACACTTTAAACAGTGTGTTCACCAACCTGGATGGGTGCAGTGGTATTATTAGGGTCCAGGGAGGACTTGGGGGATTTTCAGTTAGGCTGCTAAGCGCTCTGGTTAACATCTCGCCAAAGTGCTCATGTGGGGGTCAAAACATACCTGGCTGAAACTCGAGGAGCTGACCACACAGCTGACCTGTCAGCAACAGCAGCCTGTGGTCAGGGGTGATGTGATGGAGGGATACTCATTAAAGTAAGGGTTAGATTCATATTAAATCAGTATGTTCCCCGAAGACTATATCTAGTTTTTTTCTTTGGTTTGATTTGGTCTTCAGTCTTTGAATGTGGTAGCTAGATCATATGAGATATCATATCATATGGGATAAATGTAGTGGTAGTAGTAGTGCTTGTATTCGGATTAAAACCATCCATCATGTTGCAGGGAAAGCCTTTGTGCCGAAGAAGATGGTGGACCCCATCATGGAGAATGTGACTCTGGAGCCGGAGCTGGAAGAAGCCCTGGCGAGTGCTTCTGATGCTGAACTCTGTGATATCGCAGGTATCCTAAACACATCCACTCACATCTCATCACAGCAACATGTATTAAATATCCATAGTTCTTATCGTTTGAACTTTTCTCTCATTTATACTCGCTTATACACAATGGTTTTTGTGTTTCTTCTATACAAAGCTGTTCTTTATCTTCTTTTTGGCAAGACCTTTAGAACAATTACCAGAGTCCCCATGGTGAAGGCAATTTAAAACATGCCTACAAAAGTGATAAATGAATGGAAACATTGGGAGAATATATTTTCATAATTTGCAGTTCTTCATCAGAATTTCACGGGTTTATAATAGTGAAAAAATACAGATAAACCTTTCCTTTAATAACTAATAACTAACATAACATCTAAAATCAACACCCACATTTATACAAACATAATCTGAATAGGCGCTTTCACACCGGAGTACTTTTCCCCATACTTTTCCCTTTTAGTTCCGATAGTTCCTGGGATTTTGCGTTCACACCATAGAATGTATATACGGTTCACACTAGAACTTAGTTCATGAGAACTTTCCCCCCCTTTTTAGTCCCTGCTAGAGAGCAGGTACTTTCCTGGGAGAAAAAGGTTCCCATTTCTGTTTGGCTGGGCGAATTGCAAACCACGCCCCGTAAAACTCAAAAAAGTGTTTGTTTGTGAAGCCGCCATTTTATTTGCTCGCATTAGCATTATTAGCATTATCCCAGCGCACCAACGGAGAGAGACTAACTTATGGCAACACAAAAGAAAACATGGGAGCGGTGGAGTGATGAGGAGGTGTCGGCGCTTCTGGCGATTTACTCGGAAAGAGAAGCCAGTGCCCAACTCGTTCACATCCATGAAGAAAACAGAGCCTGAAAGAGGAGCAAATGAGACACGGATGGATTAAGCCTGCAAGCTTGACCAAAAGAGGAAAATTAGCTCAACTAAAGCAGAAGAAGTGTGCAAGAGAGCCATATTCATAAAGAAAGAGCATTAATTAAGCTGAAAGAAAAGAGAGAAAGGAAAGGGAAGGTCTGCGTGTATTTAGAAACTAAAAAACAGCATTGACAATGATTGAAAGAGCAAAAAGAAGGAGAGAAAGCCTTTATAAATGATGCACCACGTTGGATATATGCAACTGATCGATGGCTTTAAGACGCAGGTAAATACTTAAAGAGAAGAACAAGTAGAATCCAAAGGAAATGAAAGAGAGAAAAATGGCACCTGCTTGTAGAATACAGATACTAATAGATTGTTTTCTGAATAAGATGTCAGCATACAGGATGCAAAGAAGATCTGTGTTCATCCATGGGCTTGCTGGGATGTTCACTATAAAGCCCTGTTTGCATTGGAGCAGCGTTATTTGAGGATTTCATGTAAGTCATGATTTATCCCCTAATCTCTGCAAAAGGTCAGGGCTCTCCTCCTATGAATCATCCTGATGAAGAGGCTGGAAATGTCACAATTTGTTCTCCTGGAATCAAAGAGCAAAGGAAATAATGGATAAATGGATATGTGAAGTTTAATCAAACAAGACAGAGTATATTTGCACACGGTGTCTATATTAAACAATGCTATTTGCACCCGGGTGTCTATAGCCACTTTAAAAACGCCTTTTTAATAGTTACATTAGAATATAATTGATTTACATTCTATATTGCCACATACACAAACCTTTTCAAATATACAAACCTTTGCATCACTTTGAGAAATACATTTGTAACTATACCTGTTCCTTGGAATCGTGTGAAAAGAAACTATAATCATACCATAAAGATAATGATTATTTGCATCAATATTGAAAACACGGTTATTTATTATGATTACTCGTTGGTGACAAAATAATGTGAATGCACTAACACGTTGAAATGTCACATTCACATGTTGTGCTACAGTCCTACAAATTAGGGAGGCACAAGCCTGTTCAGCTTTGAAGAAACGATGTGAAGATGGGATTTTTGAAATGCTTGTAAGTCAGAAAGATTGAGGAGAGGCCAAGAGCTTCGAAATATCTTTCCAAATGCCGAACATAGTTTGAAAGCTTTGAGAAAAAGATTGTCTGTCGGGAAGAGACGATTTCAAGGACCTTTTCTTTAGTTGCAGGCTGAATATGCACAACCTCAGTACATGCACTCTATAAGGTGATTAATGAAAGAACGATAAACAGAAAAAAGTGTCAAAGACTGAGATATGCAGAGATGAAAAGACTACAGCTCTGATCTTGACACCAGTCACAGGCGGCCAGCTTCATCCATTCATCGTGTAGAGAGTCATTATTTGGTCAAGAAATTATTACTTTTTTTAAATCTCCAGATAAATGACTTTTAGATTCTCAATGTTGTATGAATTCTGGTGTCCTGTTTGATTACCAACGTCAACAACAAGTTATTGACAGCACCACAGCTCAGATGGCACATAGCAAGGGCAGCCAAGGCTCATGGGTATTGTAGTATTTAGAGCCACCTGCCATGCCACATTTGGGGGAAATTAACTGTCAACATCTATTAATGCATACATGGGAAAACCATTTCTACAAAAGCTGCTCCTCACTTCTCATAAGATAAAGATGCATTTAAAGGGACTCTAGTATGCTAATTTCTCCATTTCATAATTGCATATTTTGCCACACATGTTTCCATGCTTCAATGTTCAAAAAGGTTTTTTTTTCATACTAGAGATGTCCCGCCCTTTAGCCTATAGCCAATAGAAGTTCAAGTGTTACGGAATGATGTCACTATGACTGCAATGGAGGCGGGGNNNGGGGGGGGGGGGGGGAGTGTGTGGGAGAGGAACTCCATCCAGAGGGAACTTTGGGGTTTAAGCTTTTGAAGACCATTTACATGCACTAAAAACGATATAACACACTGTAGGAAAGAGAAAAAACCCAAATAGCATAGAGTGTACTTCTAAAAACTAACCGTGTCTCTATGAGTCATTCATCTTTGGGAAAGTGTCACAAATGTTTTTATTTCTCCATTAGCACTGACAGCTGCACCTAGCATTGCAAGCACAGTGAAAGTAATCTCGATGTTGGATGTTTTTTTGGCTTTGCACTTTACATTTCCACCTTTGACAACTTGTACAAGTAATGCAAATGATTTTGTTGGAAGTGGGAGTGACATTTGTGCAGTAAGAATCAACTGATGGCACGATAGACGTATAGTTTCAAAGTTTAAACAAGTCCTGTAAAGGTTTGCCCTGGGGCATTCTGCGGAATATAGGAAATCACTAACTGAATTAAAAGTTTAGGGAAGGAGAAGGAAATAAATCAAACTGCACTACAGGATCTTGTGTTTGAGCGTTGATATATAACAAAGGATATTGTCTTTGAAGTGTGTGCTTAATGTGCTTTAAAGCCATCTTATAGTGTCTCCTGTCTCCTAGACAAAGAATGAAAACAAATGACTTATTATGCAGCTGACATGGGGATCTTATCACACTTTTTCACCCAATAACATGATGAGTTTACTTACAACAATCCCCACAGTTATAACACATCACTGGAATATAATTATCCCTCTTATTGGTGCAGGATAAATTGATAAAGCAACAAGAGAGCCGTCCTGCGTCAGCGAGGCCGTGTGAAAACGAGCTGCACAGAGAAAAGAAAGTACATTGTGTAATATCACCCCATATGATTCATGTAGTATTTCTGTCAGGCTCTTGGCGTGATGCATCAAGTCCTCTGCTTTATATTCTGCAGAAAGAGTCAATCTCATTTCCAATCCTCAGCCTTGAAGGAGGAGAGGCCTTGCAAGGGAACTGAACAGCATGTAGACGTTTTGTTTTTTTAAATCTTCAGATATACAAAAACATGTATTGTCAGCCCCAGATACGCAGCATAGGCATCATTCCATTCCATTAAGACGTGCATTTATCAGGAGGTGAATATTGACAGCTTGGAAGCTATTCTTAACATTCCTGCCACAGGAATAAAAAATCCGTCATCCAGACATTGTTTCCAGGAAATTAATGGCAAATGTTATTGAGCTACGAAATATCTATTATGTTAATGGTGCTTTGTTTTCAGTGTCCTGTCTTTAGTGTTTTATTGATTGTGTGCGTTGCTTTTAGATCTGCTTGTCGTGCGGGCCACATCCCAATGAGCTGCTTAACCATTTGGAATTTAACATCTCAGAGGGAACAATGGGACACATATCACTAATATTTTCAGGGGGTATCATGTCTCAAAGTTGTCACACCTCCACACAAGATGTCCATCGTCGTAGAGAAGGAGGAGGAGGAAGAGGAAGCTGCACTCTTCCTCGTTTTTGATAGTGCTGAGCCGAGGAGCAGATGGCGCGAGAGATTGGAAACATCGTCTGGAGTCGGACAACCCAGGGCTAATGGCAAGCTGTGCTGGCAATGTGTGAGAGTGTTTGAGAGTGTGTGAGGGCTTCGAATTGTCCTACTGTGCATAGCTGGCTTGCAAAAGTTCATTACTTTATGTGTGTGCACATGTGTGAAGTTCAGAGTCTTTAGCTTTTGAAATGTCACCATCAAGAGTTGTTCAAGGACGCCAATGAGGAGGAAAAACAACCAGTGATTATGTCTGTAAGCCTATTCAAAATGCACTCTCAAACCAAAAGCTTAGGCGCTTTGATTAATCATACTTTGGAGGACTCAAAATAAGCATTTAAAGTGTCAGCGTGTGCGGCGGTAAACAAGCCAGAGCAAGTAAACGAAAGGCAAACAGAGGTAATTTATGTGTCACCGTTAAATCCTCCTCCTGTGATGTATACTCGAAACCTTTCTAAACCAAGAGAATCACTTCAATAGAGTCAATTTGTGGATGGATTTCAAAAGCAAACAGCTCCAACTAAAGGTTCCTTTCTAAAATGCATTCGATAGGTCAGGGGAAGTTCTAGAAGGCATGCACAAACAACATTATTTCCTCTTTTCACTTTGAGGATTTGTTCGTAGTCTAAGGTCTATCTCCAAAACAAGATACACATTCCATATCGTCTGATCTCAGCGTTCTGGCTTGTTTAATTTAATTGCATTTCCAATGACAGCATGGGTCGCCTTTTTCAAACGCCTTGTTTAGGTTTCTCGTTATTAATGATCTGTTGCATTCGTGAGAAGAATGATCGTCTTTGGAGGAGATATTGGGTAGGGAATATTTCTTTATCAAATCATGATCATTTCCATGCTGACCTTTTGCACACAAACGTATTCTTTTTACCAATACAAACTAATGCCTGAAAGAAAACGAACTTTCAGTGGTGAGAACATGTTCTTTCAGATTAAAGCCCTCTGAGGCTGCAGATTGGCCTTTTGTTAAGCAGCTATGGTTTCGCTAACACTTTACTCCTTTTGTACATTTACTAAAGTGTTTTTCAGGATTGACACCAACGCTTTTTTGAAACCTTTCCAAACCTGCAGAACTGGATATGCACAGTGGTTACAGCAAATCATAAAACAGTAGGTGTTTTTTATTTAGAATGACAAGTTTGAGATAGCAATCTCTTACCCAACCGCAACAACATGCATCAGATACTCAGAGGAAATGCATGAATCAGTGCGCGAAGCCACACTGATAACTCAGGATCTGTTGGTATCCAAAACAACCTGATAGACAGGTTCCTTACTGGAAACAGAACCTCACAATATGAATCATCATTATCTCATTTGTTAAGAGAAGGAAGCAAATCAATAAACAACCAAACTGTTCTTTCTCTGTCTCCTTTAAAGGGTGGCTGAATCTTTTTAGCCTGATAGTGTGTGTCCCGTCTCAGGAAATGCCGGGGCAGCTGGGAGATCCCGGGGAGATAAGTGGCGCCAAAGGCACCGCTGATGTCACCGTCTCTGGACCCGGAGCCGCCCCCCCCCTTTCACCTCCTGCACTCTGACACGAAAATGCCATAGAGGAGTTTGATTCCAAAACAAAGTAAAGCTGCTCCTTCGAGCTCAAAACAATCCTCATTAAATCCAAATTAAAGTGTCAGACTACCAAAGAAGCATCTTTTTTCTTTCTGATTATGAAAGACTTTTAATTTCCTTTCCTATCACAAAGGGTTGTGATTGGTGTGATTTATTGCACTATTTTATGTCTTTTTTTACCTTTCATGTTAAGTATGTCTTATTTTGTACTGTTGGATAAGCCTGCAACTTGATTTTTATTATCAACAACTTGCTGCAGCTATTGTTCAAATGACAAAAAATCCTGCTTTGCAGTGCTAAATGTGTGAGTTTAGCATTAGAATAAGCTTTTTATGTAAGTGCACAATTTTTTGTGACCTCAAAAAGCTTGAAAGCTACTGTAATATCCACCTACACATAAATAAACAACATTTGCATGTACACAAGGGATAGTAGGGCATAACTGCATATAAACACATATCATTAATGCATGGCAGAAATCAGAACGTGGGCTGGTAAAGACTGTTTGATGCAACAACATGAATTTGATTTGATTTATTCTCTCATATTTCACGAATGATTTGACCATGTTTGTATTCGAAACACATTCCATGCAAGTTATCAGTAACAATTGTTTGCAGGGAAACATCTATATTTCCGCGTGTTGCTGAAAATAGTTCAGTAAGTTGAACTCAAAAAACATACACAGTTCAGTGTGGAGTGGATTTTTTAAGAGATCTACCATACACTAAGGTTGGCTTTGTAAATGTTTATGCTTATGTGTATACAGAGGCAACGTTATTGCCTGTGTTCAACTCCTACATGGGGCCCCAGTGCATTATGGGAGTGGGGGGTGGCAGAGCGCAGCCATCTGCTGCATGATAACAGCAACATTTTATCTCGGGAGAGAAAGAGTTAGGCACACAACAGCAAAAAGGGAGAAAGTGAGCAAAGAATAAAGACAGTTCATATGAAGAAAAATCACAACTACATAAAAGAAAGTTGCCTTAGATTTGACAGAGAGACAAAGAGAGACAGAGGAAGGCCTTGGCAGAGCCTTTACAGCTGCTGAGTGCTGTCACACTGCTCAGAAAGGCCAGAACTATTATCTATGACCGCACACACACACACACACACACACACACACACACACACACACACACACACACACACACACACACACACACACACACACACTGCAGGGATTAAGGCAGCGACGACACTTGAATAGACCTCGCAGCGCTTGATTGGACACAAACAGGAGGGAGTCATTTATCTCCAAGTCGTGTAAACATGTGTTCAGCGAGTTCCTCCTGACAAGTGGAAGAGAAGTCCAGGCTGACAACCAACTGTGTGCAAAACCACACACACAGTATTTTCACACACATGTACACAACACTACGAAGACACTATGTTGCTGTAAGAGCCTTCTGTGATATGTCTCACTGCTACATGCCTTCAACAAGAAATACATTAAGATGCCATGGTGCTCTGAACAATCAGTTTAACTGTGATTATAAAATAAAATCAGTGGACTAATTAACCAGTCAATCGGCAAAAACATATTGTTTGTCGGTTGAGAATATATGTTTGCAAAGTTGACAGATGATGCTGTTTTTAGCCCTAGTTGTGTCAGAATAATAAGAAATGTTGTGATGGGGTTTACTTTTTACTTCATCAGCTTTAAATGAGAATAAAGTTGTTCCTCATTTTATGCAAAAACAATAGAATATGCTGTTTTAAGCCTCTCAAATATGTATAATATGCACATACATATAATATTAGAGTGACTATCATCACCAGGAACTCTGAGGAACTAAAACTGACCTTTTATTCTCAATCTTGACCTGCTCTCCCAGTCTTCAGTGTAAACAACGAGTATCAAACAGTTCTTTAAACTTGTTGACCCAACATGACTCTCTATTTGTGACAGCATCACGTCACAAAAGCCCGTTTTAGAAAACGCTGCTGCAGGCAGAGAACAGAAATAAGCGAAGAGGGGGTCAGTTGTCCTCGTAATGATTTCATAATTGACCTTCCTTCCTGACCTTGTGTGTTCTTTTGAACATGAGGAAACATCTCATGGCACCCTTTTTAACTCATGCTTCTTGTTACTGCAGTCTTTTATCTTACAGGTGGCAGGCTTACTGTGCGAGTCATTTTTATTAAAAGAACAATTAGATGTATTTATTTTTATTGCACAAAATGGCTGCCTTTGAACGTTTTAAATTGTTTTACTTTATTCCTTTCCTAAAAAAGCTTGGATAAAATATGAAAACACACCAATGAAGCCCATTTTGTTTTAGTTTTTTTCCTATTTCATCATTAGATATGTGCCCTTAGTTATGTCAAAATCAGAAGACATAATACATTTTTTATTTTTCAATTTTCTATCTGATTTTAAAGAGAGTAACATGTTTCCCTTTAATCGAAGGTTTTCCTTAAAGTAAGGAGATGCACAGTTGTACCCAATGACATTATTAATGGCTTCTCTGCAGAAACAGCTGGGGGAGGGTCATCAGTAATATTAGCTGCAGCTGTGCTTCGCTGCTGTAATATAAGGTGGAATGACTGGTGGGGAAAAGGTTAATAATACAAAAAGAGGCCAGAAAAGAAATGAAGTTTAAATGTAAGTTACTGAGATTTAAGCAGGTAGAGATGTGCAAATGTTATTCTGGTAAAACTCAGATTATTACCAAATACAAATGAATACTTAATTAACACTTTTAACTTCAAGTGCAGGATAAGGGAAAACCGTTAACAGTTTTAGTTGATCAGAAAAATATTAGAACATTACTAGGAATTTAAAATCACTTCAT